TAATTAAAAAAACACACAATAATATGTTATGTTTCTCATTTTACAAAAAAATACATTAAGCTTTTCATTTTATAGAATAATTATTTTTAAATTAAAACACGAATTTTTGATTTGATAGGGGTAATTTAGTCTTTTCCAGTTTTCTATTCAAGGGGGTTATGTGATAATTTCATACCATAAGGGAGTTATGTGCAAAATTTCAAAACCACAAGGGGGTTATGTGCCTAATTTCATACCATAAGGGGTCATGTGTAAAATCTCAAAACCACAAGGGGGTTATGTGCCTAAATTCATACCATAAGGGGGTCATGTGCAAAAGGTCCAAACCACAAGGGGGTTAAGTGCTATTTACCCAAAATAATATTGCAGAATAAATCATTTGATATTATACATTTTACATGAACATGACCAGAAAATAAGTTTATCATTTTTATTAATTTAAGATTATATATTAATATTCTCTGTATAAAAGAAAGATACATGTTTGAATTTACTATATATTGCGAAAATATAGACAACCTATCATGGAAAAAATTATATTTAGCTACAAATATTCTCACTAATTTTTAAATTAAAATTTTAAACCATATGAAAATAAAAATATTAATCTAGGGTATTATAGCGTAATAATTTATTATTAAATAATTTAACACTGTATATATCTCACTATATTTTGATATTGGAATACATGAGTTCTTTTGTCCAACTTACATGTTATGTATCTAAATTAGTGAAATATTCTTAAGTTTTCTATTTCCCCATCATATATAATAAGATATATTTATTTTGTTAATTTACATTTTTAAAACATTTGTAAAATAAACTTATTTAATTTATAATGTTTGTAAGAATCTAATATCGATTTTATATCTCTATGTTTTTTTTGAAATCACAATATATTCGACTCATTTACACAAAAAATCAATTAATTTTTATTTTTCCATGTATTATTTATATAAACATTTTATAGTAACTTTTGTTTATTTGAAATTTGATCTATTTTCGTTAGCATCAGCCTTTATGTTAGTTTCTAATATATGGTCATACGTGTAAATCAATATAAGTTGTATATTAACAATGATAAATTACGAAAACCCCCTGAACTTGGGTTAATTTAAAAAAAACGCCCCACATATTCGTACTTACTAGAATTCCCCTGATGTTTGTTTTCGTCTTACACCGACCCCCTTGCGTAAGATTATTCATGGAATTTCTTTTATTACATGGAATATTCCCCGAAAAATGCAGATTTTACCATGCACACTCGACATTTCTTTATGGTGCTTTTTAAAGACAAAAAAAGCCCTCAGGGGGACTTTACACATAATCTTTAATATTTTAAATAATTTTAATGTTAGATTATAATATAATTAAATAGTAATTTCTAATATATTTAATATATGTTTTTGGATGCTTCAGCTACTACACATATGGAATTTGATATAAAGGTTGCTAGATTGAATATAATTTTTTTTATACAAAATAATAGATCACTGCAAAAAACATTGATGCAAAATTAGAATAAGGATTGTGATTAGTATTAACATTAGAATTAGGATTACATTTAATATTCTTTGAATTAGTATTAGTATTAATACTAGGATTAGGATTCAGATTATAATTAGGATTAATATAGTGGTAGAATTAATATTAGGATTAGGATTATGATTATGATTAATATTAGTATTAGAATTATAATTAAGATCGTGATTATGATTAGTACTACAATTAGTGTCATGTATTAGGATTATGATTAGAATTAAGATTAGAATTAGAATTAGAATTAGAATTAAAATTAAAATTAAAATTAACATTAGCATTAGCATTAGCATTATTAGTATTAAACTTATTAGGGTTAGGATGATTAGAATAAGAATTATGATTAGTGTTATGAATAGAATTAGGAATATGATAATGATTTGGATAATATTAGGATTACAATTATAATTAGCATCAGCGTAATGATTAGCATAGCCAGATTATCATTAGCATTAAAATTAGTACTAGCATTAACATTAACAATATTAATAATTAGTATTAGTATTAGTATTAGTATTAGTATTAGTATTAGTATTAGTATTAGTATTAGTATTAGTATTAGTATTAGTATTAGTATTAGTATTAGTATTAGTATTAGTATTAGTATTAGTATTAGTATTAGTATTAGTATTAGTATTAGTATTAGTATTAGTATTAGTATTAGTCTAAGTATCAGTATGAGTATCAGTATCAGTATTATTGTTAGTATCAGTATCAGTATCAGTATCAATATCAGTATAAGTATCAGTATCAGTATTAGTCTTAGTATCAATATGAGTATATGTATGAGTATTAGAATTAGTATTCGTATTCGTATTAGTATTAGTATTAGTATTAGTATTAGTATTAATATTTATTATTAGTATTAGTATTAGTATTAATATTAGCATTAGTATTAGTATTAGTATTAGTATTAGTATTAGTATTAGTATTAATATTAGTATTAGTATTAATATTAGTATTAGTATAAGTATAAGTATTAGTATAGGTATTAGTATTAGTATTAGTATTAGTATTAGTATTAGTATTAGTATTAGTATTAGTATTAGTATTAGTATTAGTATTAGTATTAGTATTAGTATTAGTATTAGTATTAGTATTAGTATTAGTATTAGTATTAGTATTAGTATTAGTATTAGTATTAGTATTGGTATTAGTATTAGTATTAGTATTAGTATTTGAAACACGTGGACTATTTCCACATTGTGTTTTTAACCTTCTTATTATCTAAACTAAATTTTAGTTAGTGGGTTAAGTAGTGCTTAGTGGATTAAATTGTGGAATTTATTTTAACTTCCAAACTAACCCACTAACCCACTTTCTTGAGTGCTCTTGTGGTTGGTTTTCTTGCAGATCATGGGCTGAGGAGTGGAAGCTTGGCAAGTCTATAAATACCAAACTCAAGACTCAAGAATTGTACAGATTTCGAAGAAACAAAAAGAGTGCGGAAGTTTTAATCTCGAGAATTTTTAGTGTGTTTCTAGGATTTGTTGTACGTACTCCTTATGAGTACATTATTTGAAATCTAGAATTTTTAATATTTTTGTTTTAGTATCTAGATTTGATTGTAAGAATGATCATGAGAATGATTCATTTGTAAGGAAGAAGTTTTCGCACCTCTTCCGTTTGTATTCTTGGAATACTGATTTTAATATATTTTTCCGTCCTGTAAAGGGCAAGTTCACAAGTTCTTACTTGTGAACATTTTAACATCTGAGTATTGTCTTTATATATATATTTATTTTTCCGCTGCATGTTTATTTAAGTGTCATAACACTTAAGACAACATCTCTGTATTAAACGAATTCGGGACCATAAATTCTTTCAATTGGCATAAAGAGCCAACACTTGACGTATACTAAGTGTTTGTTCCTATTTTCTTTACAGAAACGAATTCGTGATGGATACTCAGATGACTGCTTCTATGCGACCTCCTGTACTTGATGGCACAAACTACACCTACTGGAAAGTCAAGATGATGGCGTACATCAAAGCCACTGATGAGAGAGCCTGGAGATCTATTCTCACTGGATGGAAGCCACCAACTATCACAGATGTGGATGGGGATGTGTTTCCAACACCTGAATTGCGGTGGACACCAGATGATCTAGCAAATGCTAACCAAAATTCAAAAGCGTTAAATGCAATTTTTAATTCAGTAGATTTAACTATGTTTAAATTGATCTCAATATGCACTTCTGCAAAGGATGCTTGGGAAGTTCTTCAGCTACATTGTGAGGGATCAGATAGTGTCAGAAGAACCAAGCTCAGATTACTCTCTTCCAAATTCGAGAGACTGAGAATGGAGGAAACTGAAACAATTTCTCAGTACAATGAGAAATTGTTTGATTTAGCTAATGAATTTCAATCCTTAGGTGGTCCCTTGAGCAACGAGACACTAGTAAATAAGGTATTGAGAACTCTTCCAGAAAGATTCAGCATGACTGTTACTGCTATTGAAGAGGCCAAAGACACATCATCTCTACGGCTGGACGACTTAATTGGTAGTCTAAAGTCTAGAGAGATGAAGTTTGAAGATCAAAGAAAGGAGAAAGGAAAGGCTATCTCAAATGCACTCCAGACAGAATTAGAGAAGGAAGATGTTGCTCCGGAATATGATGATGATGCAGAAGAATGTCTCAACAATGTGGCATTTCAGATTCAGAAATTCAATAGGGCGTACATGTTAGAGTAGGTGACCAACAAGCCAACATGTGGCTGTGGTCTTTCGTATTTATTATTGTAATAAACGAACCTTTATTCGTATTAATGATAAAACACCTTGGCATTCTATATCTTTGTCCCTTTGTCACAAGCATAGATATAGTCCTTACAGTTATTACAAGTACTAGTAATTGATCGTTAGGATCGTGAGATAGTTACTTAAGTATTATAACTGTTAAACGTGTTCCTAGTCGAAGGGTTACGCCACCAATGAGGATATCGGCCTTTCCCATTAAGACTCGCACTTAGTGTATGTGTACTGCATCTCATCAGTAAACGGTATTGTGATATCGGCATGTATAAGTGGGTGCTCGTAAGTTGACGAGTTCACTGAACTCCCTCACCCTAGAAATCTCTAAGTGGTTCCCAATAATCGAGTAGAGATATTGTTGGGTGCTAAATACCAACACGCAAGTGTACGTATCGCAAACAAGTAGTAAAGTGGACTCGTGAGAGTCGGATGTCGATCCCACAGGGAATACGCAAATTACCTAATCCTAAGTACCAAATCCTAACAATTATGATTTTTATTCAGCCTACGCAGGGTTGTCAATTTAATTAACTAAATAAAAGAAACTAATTAAGAAAACAGTTAAACACGAGAAAATATCAATATAAAACGGATCTAGGATTTTATCTTCCCCATATGCAAGAATTGCTCACCCGAAACCCCTCAATTATGCAATATATGATTCATGATTATTAACCCGAGACACTAATTTACTCATAACCCGTTGTCGCGTGTATTATGGGTCTATTATTCATAAACGATTCACTATATGTCTATGCAAACCAATTATGAATAAATCATTAACTAACAAGTCTCGTAAATGGCTACCTAAGGTGATATCTGTATGTCTACGACACCACATGCAATTGACACACTCATCCGGTGAAAACTACTCGAAGGTTCTTCTACTTACCGTCTAATTATTAAAATAGCTCTGTCGAGTCAATCCCAATAATCACAGATAAAACACATAAATTGATCAAGTTCATGCACTAACAATCATATCAAGTAGAAGAAATAATCATAAAATCATAATTGCATAATCTCAAGAAAACGGGTTCACCATCCCCACATAGGGTTCCAACAAAATCCTAGATTAAAAACTTAGCTACGCGTGTTCTCTACGAAAAACATAATAAAAACATAAAAAGAATAGATTAAGAAAAGATAGATAAAAGAAGAATTGTGATGAAGAGTTGTCAATTCTCCGTCTTCGATTCTTCGTTCTCTCGCTCCTCTCGCTCCAAGGTTGTGTCAAAAGTCGTGTCAAAAGTCCTTTGATTCGTGCTTGGTTTGGGCTTAAATAGATGTCCCAACTTGGTAGATGATTTTAGGTTTCCTTGTGTGATTAAAAGTCCAAAATTGTGTCCAGCGTGTGTTGGCACGGCCGTGCGAAAATCAGTTCAATTCTCGCACGGCCGCATGAGAATCGCCAAAACCTTCTGCCCAAATTCAGCATTTGGCACGGCCGTGCCAAAAATAGGCTAAATTTGGCACGGCCGTGCGGGCCTGTTTTCAGCCAATTTCAGCATATTTTTGATTATTTCACTTTTGGCCCATATTTTCTCCAAATTTGCAGTTTTGACCCCAAACTTTTCCAATTCTTCAATTTATACCTAAAATACAATAAATCAACTTTTTAAGCACCAAATATCGTTAAATCATACCAAAAGCTCAAATAAAAAAGGTACGATAAAGTATAAAAATATATACTTAACAGATATCTATGGTATAGTTGTACACCATTAGTCCTTATGACCTAGACATCAACGTGACTTCACTAGAGGAGCAGCTGTATCGTGACCTGTCCCTGAGTTCCACCGAGGACCATCCCAAGGGCCAGTGTTCGTGCAGTCCGAAATCTAGTGGGAGGTCTGTGCATTGTAGTCGGGGATTCGATCGCTAGAATAGTCTTGGATGTCCTGTGTGTTCTGAAAGTTTGTAATCATTCTAAGTCTCTGGCCAGAGCTGACTAAGTGATGATTAGAGAATTCGATTCTCTAAGTCATGCACGTGACGATTACAACACTTGGAACGATCGCACCGTCATCGAACATATAAAGAGGTCTCGATGAACCAATGCCTCTAGTTCGATCGGGACATATGTATCGAAGGGACCGTACTGTACGTTAACTATATCTGAAGGTTCTTGCATGCACTTCATTTGTATCTAGGGAATCATGACGCGTAGTTGCTAGACGCCAATCTTGATTCGTTGGGTGATTAAGGTGAAACGAGTTTCATCTTAATCGTAACTCTAAGGGGCAAATTTTGACCACAAAGGGTTGTGGGCCCACGGCTAGCTTACACCTGAACCATCGAGGGTCACACTGCTCGTGCACATGAGATCTTTGAATAAACGGTCAAAGGTAAAATATGTTTTATCTTTGCATGATTGGAAGTCAATATGATTGGGTCCAACATTCGTAATTTGGAATTATGAATGAGAATAAGAAAAGGAAAAGAATAGGCGAACATTGTAGTGGACTTTCTAAATCCGGAAGTTTCCAAATTTAGAAAGTACACTGAACTAGGGTTTCCACTTTTGGAAAGTTGGAAATTGAGAGTTGGCACTCGTAATGACGAGGACTTTATAATGATTGCGAAAATGTAATCGAAAAATCGAGGAGCAGCCCTCGCCGCCGTGCTCGCCTCACCGCTGCTGCCCCGGATTGTACGGATTGGTTTCCGTAGCAATCTCGACTAGCTTAGCACTCCTACCTCACGCTTCAAGAGGTAAACACGCGAATCTCATGTTTTTGATTCGTTTACGTTTAAACTAAATATTCATGTTTTCATTCGTATGATTTTATGTGATTATGTGTAATCGTTTTTAATCGTTGCGAGCATGTTAGTTGGTTTAAACACGAGCATGTTAATTAGTTTAAATTCAGTTAAACATTTTTAGCATGTATATTGTTTTTAATTTCGCTGGAAGCACAAAGGTACGCAATTAATTGATTTTAATTTGTCGGGCATGTGCTTATGTGCTTTAAAGTCGTTTAAATCGCATAAAATTTTTGTTTTCCGCTGCGTACACGTGCCCGAAACCCAACAGTACAGACAAAGTGGAATCAAGCCCAGACAGTTATTTCCAGAAGGCTCTCCACAAAATCGACAAACTCAGCCCCGGAACAGATCTATTCCACAGAGAACATTTCCTCAAACATCCTCTCAAAACACTTTAAAAAATTCTTCATTTATTCGTTCAAATTCTGAACCACCTAACTTGGATCATATTAAATGCAGGGCCTGTTCAGGATTTGGACATTATGCTAATGAATGTGCAAATACCTTGAGAAGAAGAGGAATGAGTTTTATTTGTGCTGTCAGTGATGATGAGGAAGAACAACCTGAACAGACAGAGGAACAGCAATCCTCTAAACAAGCTCTTTATGTCAGATATCTCACTGGAAGTGCCTCTGAAACAGAATCACAAGGAGTTTCTCTGGATGCTGCAACACTTTCTGAAACACTTTCAGTAACTGAAATTTCTGAGTTAAATACTGATCATTATACATGTTTAAAATCTATTTCTTTGAATGCAGCAGAATCCAGTAATGAAGCAGTTAGTGATGAGGAAGAAATGTGTAAAAAGCTGATCAGCAACTTGGAGAAGAAGACTCAAGCTCTAGATGCAGCCAACAAGGAAAATTCTTCCCTTAAAGAAACAATCACACATTTGGAGGTTGGTATCACCAAGAAGGATCTTGAACTGGCAAAGGTGAAAGATGAACTCAAAGAAGCAACTCTAGCAATCAAGAGGATGAATACCGGCACAACTAAACTCGAAGAGATTGTGTCACTAGAAAAGTACAACAAAAATGAAGGTCTAGGGTTCAAGAAACAAGTGAAGAAACACAAGCCAGTAAAGAAGAAAGAAATTGTCTTTGTCAAAGAGAATGGTTCAAATGGCAAGGAATCCAGGAATTTCACAGTCACCACTTCAGAGTCCAGAATAAGGGGATACATTTGTCATTACTGCTTCTCACCAGGACATATTCGTCCATTTTGTGAAAAACTCAGTAGTGACAAAATGTTGTACAAAATAAGCCACATCACTCCAGGGAACACCTCAAAGAAAAAGGTAGAATTTACCAAAAAGGAGTGTAAAATATGGACTCCCAAAGGTAAAATTTTGTGCAAGACAGTATACACCTCTTTAAATGCTAACATTTCAGGTTCATGGTACTTTGATAGTGGATGCTCTTGGCACATGACTGGAACAAAGGAATTTCTATCAAACTACCACACACTTAATGGAGGACGTGTAACCTATGGAGGAGGAGCTAAAGGCAAAGTGGTTGGACGTGGAACACTCAGTATTGAGGGACTTCCAAAACTTTCAAATGTCTTACATGTTGAAGGATTGGGGTCAAATCTCATCAGTATTAGTCAATTGTGTGATGATGATCTACGTGTAGAATTTGATAAATACTGTTGTTCTGTGTTTGATAATCAAAATCATTGTGTACTGACAGGTTCCAGATCAATGGATAATTGCTATCAAACAGGTGACACCGTCTCTTGCAAGAGCTCAAGAGTAAGTGAAGTAGAGCTGTGGCACCAGAAACTAGGACACACAAACTTCAAAAATCTGAAGCTGCTCAACAAGTACAATGCCATAAGAGGAGTACCAGATCTCAAGATCAAGGATATTCATATATGTGGAATATGTCAGAAGGGAAAGCAAACCAGAGTACCACACAAAAGTGTTGCAACACGTTGGTACCACTATTTGTTTTGAACTTGTACATATGGATCTTATGGATCCTATAGAGGTAGAAAGTCTAGGTGGTAAAAAATATGTCTTTGTATGTGTTGATAATTTTTCAAGATATACTTGGGTGTATTTTTTAAGAGAAAAATCAGACACTTTTGAAGTTTTCAAAAATTTGTACAGGTTTGTTAGAACTCAATTTCAAGTTTCTGTTCGTAGAATAAGATCTGATCATGGAAAAGAATTTGAGAATGCTCTATTTCTTGCCTTTTGTAATAAAAAGGGTATAAAGCATGAATTTTCTGCTCCAAAAACTCCTCAGCAAAATGGCATTGCTGAAAGAAAAAACAGAACCATCCAGGAAATGGCTAGGGTGATGATGAGTGCAAAAAATCTGTCTAAAAGGTTTTGGGCTGAGGCTGTCAACACAGCCTGTCACATCTCAAATCGTGTGTATCTAAGATTAGGATCTATGATGACTTCATATGAAATTCTTTATGGTAAGAAACCTAATCTAGAATACATGCATGTGTTTGGATGTGTCTGCTATGTTCTAAATGATAGAGATCATCTAGCTAAATTTGATTCAAAAAGTGATTTGAGTTTGTTCATGGGATACTCTAATAACAGTCATGCTTATAGAGTATATAATCTCAGAACTCGAACCATTATTGAATCTGTAAATGTGGTATTTGATGACTTTGCTGATCTCCGCAGTAAAACAGCTGAAGATGAAGTTGATGACTTAATTGCTGAAGGAGAAACAACCGAAGAAGACACTGCTACCACAGATGATCCAGATACAAACAGTCCTGTTTCAAGAGAAGAAGGTGTTGAGCCAAGTGTTACCACATCTGACTCAATACATCCTACAGAGGACACAGAAGCTGAATTGCAGCCAACCTATGATGTCTGCAGAAAGGAACCATCAAGTAGAATCCAGAAAAATCACCCATCTACTCAAGTAGTGGGAGATATCTTTGATGGAATAAGAAACAGAAGAAAAGAGAGAGTGAATTACAGAGATATGGTAAGATTTGCAAATTTATCTTCTGAATGTGCACTAACTGGAACCACTTGTTTTGTGTCTTCAGTAGAACCAATGAATATTGCAGAAGCTCTGGAGGATGAATTCTGGGTCAATGCAATGCATGAAGAGTTGAATCAGTTCATCAGAAATGATGTTTGGTACCTAGTTCCCAGACCAAGCCATGTAAATGTGATAGTAACTAAGTGGATCTTCAAAAACAAAACTGATGAAAAAGGTACAGTGGTTAGAAATAAGGCTAGGTTAGTAGCACAAGGTTATACTCAAATTGAGGGTATAGACTTTGATGAGACTTTTGCTCCAGTAGCTAGAATTGAATCTATTAGGTTACTTCTTGCTATAGCCTGCTTTCTTAAAATCAAACTATATCAGATGGATATCAAAAGTGCATTTCTGAATGGGGTTTTAAATGAGGAAGCATATGTAGAACAGCCCAAGGGTTTTGAAGATTCTGCCAAGCCTAATCATGTTTTCAAGCTTAAGAAGGCACTGTATGGTCTTAAACAAGCTCTTAGAGCTTGGTATCAAAGACTCACTGACTTCTTACTTGAAATACAGTTCAACAGAGGAGAGGCAGACAGAACCCTATTTGTTAGAAGAACTAATAATCATATCATTATTGTTCAGATATATGTTGATGATATTGTTTTTGGGTCTACTTGTGCTAACATGTTACAGTCTTTTGTAGATTCTATGTCTCACACTTTTGAAATGAGCATGGTAGGGGAGTTGAATTACTTCTTAGGACTTCAAATCAAACAGACAGGTGAAGGAATCTTTGTAAATCAAAAGAAGTATGCTCTCAATCTAGTCAAAAGGTTTGAGTTGGAGTCAACCAAGCACATGAAAACTCCAATGGGTTCAAGTCAAAAGCTGTCCAAGGATGATGTTGCTGAAGATGTTGACAACACTCTTTACAGAAGCATGATTGGAAGCCTTCTGTATCTAACAGCAAGCATGCCTGACATTATGTTTAGTGTTTGTGTGTGTGCCAGGTATCAAGCTAAACCCAAAGTCACTCATCTTAAAGCTGTGAAGAGGATTATTAGGTATGTTGCAGGTACAGTAGACTTATGGATTCAGTTTTTCAAAGACACTAATACAAACTTGATAGGTTTTAGTGACTCTGATTGGGCTGGGGATATTAGTGACAGAAAAAGCACCTCAGATGCATGTTTCTTTTTGGGGAATAATCTGGTTTCTTGGTTTAGTAGAAAGCAAAATTGTGTATCTCTTTTAACAGCTGAATCAGAATATGTAGCTGCTGGAGGATGTTGTGGTCAACTAATTTGGATGAAACAAATGTTGGGAGATTATGGGTTGACCAGTGATACCCTGACCATATATTGTGATAATTCAAGTGCTATTGACATTTCAAAAAATCATGTTCAACACTCACGAACTAAACACATAGATATTAAACATCATTTTATTCGTGATATAGTTGAGAAAAATATAGTGTGCTTAAAGTACATTCCTACAGAAGATCAGCTGGCTGACATCTTTACAAAGGCATTAGATTATGAGAGGTTTTCTAAACTCAGAAAATCTCTCGGGATGTGTACTCAATAAACATGTCCTGAAATATGTTGCAGCACCTCATCAAATATCTTAAGCTGCAACATAATTAACTGAAGCTTAGCTTCTTTAAATAATGACTTCACTGTGATGGATTATTTTCTAAATAAGTAACTGGAAGTCTTTCACCTTGAAACGTGATCATGCTTCATGTAAACATTTAGGGAATAATTACACTCACATAAGTCAAACTCCTCTATTTTGATAGTCATATCTTAGTAACTGAGGAACCTTCAAACTGAACACTTGATCATGTTCCATGTGAATTGTTTGACTTGAAAATAAGAGTTTAAAATATATATATATATATATATATATATATATATATATATATATATATATATATATAGAATAAAATCTATGCCTATTAGCCAATTCTTTTTTTTCTCACTATTAATCATTAATAAATATGTTTTTTATTTCTTGTGAATATTTCATGAGTGCTACGGTTTTTATTTGTATTTTTATTGAATTATTCCTATTTATATGGGTCATGGGTACATGGGCTAGTCTTTCATTTTCCACTAAGTCCACTCCTTATTGTGCCATGTGTCACGGTTTGCTTTAAACTGCCAAAGAAACTTTTATTCTCCTTAATCACACTTTATCCGAGAAAAACGCACACCACTTCTTCATCTTCTCCACTTCAATTTTTTCCCCCTTCTTCAGCAAAAATTAGGGCTTATAAATTTCGTGCTTAATCTTTCAAAAATTCACACTCTCATATCAAAAGCACAAGAAGCAATTTTTTATCTACTGTATCATGGCATCTCCACCTAGAAATCCTCGTCCAGCCGCCGAAGATGATGTCCACAACGATGCTGCACCACCTGAACCAGCAGACCCATTTCTGGCCATCATCGTTCATCCGGTCAACCTTGAAGCTGTACCAATCAGCTACATTGAGCCCGGAGACGAGCTGAATCCGATTGACCCAGAAAACTTCGAGTTCGTGGGTCCCTCTTCCACTGCCGGAAGATTTCCAACTCGCCGGTCCAAACGCATGAACCCCTTCCCAGATCTGAATACTGCTGGGCCACAACGCCGGAGGGGAGAAAACTCTCCTAGAAGAGGAGGTAGAGGTGGAAGAAGAGGAGGCAGAGGTGGCCGTACTCCAGTTAGGCCAAATCCACCAAGAGGTCTTCATTTGGTGGATGAAGAAACTGATGATGAAGAAACTGATGATGAAGAAGGAGATCCTACCTTTGCAGTACCAGAGGCTCAAGCTCTATCCTCCAGCTCCTCTGAGTCATCATCCAACGACTCACCTCCCCCAGCATCAACTCAGGGGGAGACATCTCAGCCAAGCATGGCAGCAGCAGCCTCTCAACATCCTGTTTCTGAAGGTGTTGCTGCACATGTTCCTGAAGATGCTGCTGCACCCAGAGTCTCAGAAATTGTCCCTCAGAAAAGTGCTGCTGAAGATGCTGCTCCTTATCAGGATGAAGAAATGCCTGATTTTTCTGGGATGTCCTCTGCAGAGCATGTTGACATTCCCACTGTTGACGCTCAGGATTTCACCACTACTGAAGAAACACCATCAGCACCTCATGCAGACCCTCAGGAAACCCTGGCAGAAGCAACAGTTCAAGCAGATGCATCTGCTCCTCAGGCTGAAGAACCAGAGAAAAGTGATGACAGCTGGGAGGTTCCTCTAGCTGCTTTTCGCAAAAATTTGCCCTCCTCAGATTCAGACAGTGAATCTTCTTAAGACTCTTCTCAGCAGGAAGAAGATGTTGTCCCACCTGTTGCATCACCTGAACCAGCATACATTCCAGATGAGCTTGAAGATTCAGAAGATGAGGACTCCTCAGAAGAAGAAGAACCAGACTTGGATGGGAAAAATTTGTCAACCCCTTTTGAGGTAAACAATGCCTTCAGTCCTAATTTTTATTTTGAATCTGATTCCATTTTGAGTCCTCAAGTCATGATTTGTCAATTCATTGAGGAAAAGAAAATTTCCAAGGAATAGTTTGATATGCATAGGATCACTGCTTTTCTTCATCAAAGAAAAATTCTTAGCTTAGTGGAGATTGCCTGCTCCTATGATCCCACTGTTGTGAAGGAATTTTATGCCAATTTGCAAACCTCTTTTTTAAAGAAAAACTCTCCAAACTTTGGCAAAGTTTTTGTGCGAAATTCCATCTACTCCTTTTCTCCCAAAATTATCAACTCTCATTTACAAACTCCTACTGTGATTGATGAGGATAATTATGGTGATTTTACTGAGGTTTGCAAAGTTATTTATGGAAACCGTTTAAGAAGTTGGCCTGCACACCCCAGAAAATTCAAGGTTTCTCAACTCACTGCTTTATATTCTGTCTTGTTTAGACTCACAGTGATGAATTGGATTCCATCCAAAAAATGTCTCTGTGGTAACTAAATCTCGTGCAGTACTCATGTACAAATTGGGGATGGGGTTACCAGTTGATTTTGGCAAACTTTTCTTTAATACTATAGGTCATCTTGCTCAGAAAATTTCACCATCTACTCATCTTCCTTATCCTTCTCTCATCTATTCCTTTTTACTCTCTCAAAACTTGGGCCAAGATGACTCAGAATATCTTCACACTCCACAAGGCATGATCACTATATCTCAAAATTTTCTAAAAGCTCCTCATGTCCAAGATCTTCCCTGGAATGGAGATAATTTTCTCTCAACTGAATCAGGTCAAAATAATCTGGGTACTGAAGGTGTTGCTCCTCATGTTGACAACACTCCTAACATTCTTGTTTCTGTTCCTAGAGATCTTCTGTTACAACAGCTTACTCACTCTCTAGCTCAGATTACTTATCATCAGTCCATGGTGGACATGCTTCAAAAGGCGCTTTCTGATCAAAAAGGGGGAGAAAAAGCTAATCATGAAGTTGAAGCAGGGACTTCGCACCCTTTGGATCCCAGAGGCAGAGAGCAAGGAGTCAATGAAGAGGGAGCAAAGAATGAGGGTGAAGCTCAAGGAGCAGAGGAAAGTAGTGGATCCAGTGCTAGTGATGGAGGAGCAGCAGCTGATACTGAGGAGACTTTGGATGTTCTACTTTAATTGTTTTCATGAACAATATTTTGATTTTGTTCTGTTTTTATTTTCCCCTGAACTTTTGGTTAGGACTACACTTTGGTTATTTCTTTTTTAAGTTTTGTTGGACTATCTTGCTGAATTTGTTTTGAATTGTTTTTTCTATATTATTTTTGGTATTATCAAATTCAGGGGGAATTCAAGCAATATCTCAGGGGGAGCTTTAGCTAAAATTTAGTTTTGATTAGAAAGTCAAAAAGGGGGAGTTTGAAACACGTGGACTATTCCACATTGTGTTTTTAACCTTCTTATTATCTAAACTAAATTTTAGTTAGTGGGTTAAGTAGTGCTTAGTGGATTAAATTGTGGAATTTATTTTAACTTCCAAACTAACCCACTAACCCACTTTCTTGAGTGCTCTTGTGGTTGGTTTTCTTGCAGATCATGGGCTGAGTAGTGGAAGCTTGGCAACTCTATAAATACCAAACTCAAGACTTAAGAATTGTACAGATTTCGAAGAAACAAAAAGAGTGCGGAAGTTTTAATCTCGAGAATTTTTAGTGTGTTTCTAGGATCTGTTGTACGTACTCCTTATGAGTACATTCTTTGAAATCTAGAATTTTTAATATTTTTCTTTTAGTATCTAGATTTGATTGTAAGAATGATCATGAGAATGATTCATTTGTAAGGAAGAAGTTTTCGCACCTCTTTCGTTTGTATTCTTGGAATACTGATTTTAATATATTTTTCCGTCCTCTAAAGGGCAAGTTCACAAGTTCTTACTTGTGAACATTTTAACATCTGAGTATTGTCTTTATATATTTATTTTTCCGCTGCATGTTTATTTAAGTGTCATAACACTTAAGACAACATCTCTGTATTAACCGAATTCGGGACCATAAATTCTTTCAGTATTAGTATTAGTATTAATAGTAGTATTAATATTAATATTAATATTAATATTAATATTAATATTAATATTAATATTAGTATCGATATTAGTATCATTATCAATATCAGCAGTAGTATCATTATTAGTATCAGTATTGGTATTTGTATTGGTATCTGTATTAGTATCGATATTGATATCGACATTGGTATCAGTATTGGTTGGGACATATACATCTGATCTCTTTTGGAATATTCATAAATTGTATTGTTCTTTGAGTAATGTGCATCACTAATTGAACGCCGTTAGTGATAAACTTGCAGGTTATTTGAATATCTAGTGTGTTACTTCTCTGATACCATGTTTGTTGTTAAGTTAGTTATTTTGCAGAAGATTCACATGGCGTAGTAGATTGTGTTCCATGAAATAGAGTTATACCATATGTTTTAAATAATTTCACTTAATCTTCATATCGTGTTTTTGCGCTTCGCGTTTGTAATGTTTAATTTAATTTAATATGTTAAAACTCTAAATTAAGAGACAAAGTTTATGTTTTTTTTATTTCCTTCCATTTTGTTTTACTTAAATTGGTGTTTTTATAAAAAAAAATAGTCGTTTACATATGGTATTACTATATTGTTCTAATATATAATTAAATAAACATAATTAAAAAAATATTTTCTTTTTAATAACTAACTTATGATTGTCTATAACTCAAATAGTCAAATATCAATGGTCCACACACTTACATTAGCTATATTTGAAGTTTATAATTCTATCATAATAGTCTCTATTTTTTGTAGTTCAATTATAGTGTTTGGTATATTGTTTTTATTATAATATAGATAGTACCACAAGTAAGACATTGACTTAAATTAATTTACTAGAAAATTGTTTGTTACTTCTTAAAAAATAAATTCAGGAAATGCATGTGTAATTTACCTTTAAAAAAATAATTATAAAATGATAGTGGTAATGGGGTATCGTCACATTATCATTTTATTTTTTAATAATGAGAGAGAGGTCTAAAGAAAGAAATCTGTAGTAGATATATAAAAATCTCTTCTTTCATTACATTAATGCATTGTGTCTTATTTGTTTTATAGTTGTTCCACGGTCAACGAATACATCAAAATTTTCTCTTACTGCATCAATTCACCTTAATTATCTCACCATTTTAAAACCAACTTATACAGTTGGTGAGGAGCAAAACCACATGGCACTTAGCTTGAAAAATAGCTAGTGTTTTCATCCCACATCGGGAATATAATACCATTTAAACTTATTTATAATTGATAAGAAGTTGAATGTTGTTCGCCGAGCTCAGTAACGTAGGCTTATCACCCAAGTGGGGGCAGTGATTGGACATGTGGTTGACTGTCTAGCTGGATCGGTGGTTGTAATTAACCGGCTTGCCCGTTCCAAGTGGTGAGTTGGGCCATGTGACTCGGGCGAAGGCTTGAGCCACATGGCTCGTAGAGTGGAGGGTAACGCGCCAGGCTGGTTTGACAGAGCAGCGAAAACTTCCCGCTCTCTACAGTGGAAGGATAACGAACCGGTGCTTCTTCGGTCCACTTAAGCTAAATGGTCTAGCCACTATTGAACAATCACTTTTTGTTTTCTATTTATACGACACCCGCTCTCTACAGTCGGAATGATAACGGGCCGGTGCTTCTTCGACCCACTTAATCTAAATGGGCTATTCACTATTGGGCAACCACTTTTTATTTTTGTTTATACTACACATCGTCTTTCTCGAATCAATTCATCTCCTTCTCGATCCACATGCCGCACTGAATTCTGACTATACCAACAATGTAAACACAAAATATATTTTACTCTCAACAGTCATTACTGAAAATAAACGAAGAGAAAGTAATAACTTAAGACGATAAATATAACCTGAGAGGGCACATACGAAAGCTTCTTAGTTTCATAGTTGAATCTTGCATGGTCTAATAGAGCATGCTCTCTCTTCATATCATCACATGCTCGATCATATATCCACATGGCAAGCAAGTGGCCTCTCCACAGAAGCTGTAAATGCAGCTAAAACTTCCCGCTCTCTACAGTGGAAGAATAACGGGTCGGTGCTTCTTCGGTCCACTTAAGCTAAATGAGCTAGCCACTATTGGACAATCACTTTTTGTTTTATGTTTATACGACACCCGCTCTCTATAGTGGAATGCTAACGGACCGGTGCTTCTTCGACCCACTTAAGCTAAATGGGCTAGTCACTATTGGACAACCACATTTTATTTTTGTTTACACATCGTCTTTCACGAATCAATTCATCTCCCGCTCGATCCACATGCCGCCACTGAATTTTGACTATACCAACAATGTAAACACAAAATATAGTTTACTCTCAACAGTCATTACTGAAAATAAACGAAGAGAAAGTAATAACTTAAGACGATAAATATAATCTGAGAGGGCACATGCGAAAGCTTTTTAGTTTTATAGTTGAATCTTGCATGGTCTAATAGAGAATGCTCTCTCTTCATATCTTCACATGCTCGATCCTCTCTCCACGTGGCGAGCGAGTGGCCTCTCCACAGAAGCTGCAAATACTTGAAGGCCGAAACTTGTATTTATCGAACCTTGTTTGTTGTATGCTTCGAGGGCTTTGACTCCATAGTACGTCTTGAAAACCACTTGAAAACCACTCTCAGCATTGTTTCTAAAGCCTAAATACTCCAAAAGAACCATAATTTCCACAATTAAAGTACCCCCATTTCAACAATAAATTGAAAAATAAAATAAAATAAAGCTTGATGCTGAACTATAATTGAAGCCAGAAAAAAGGACCAGCTTGCTAAGTTTGTCATCTTTGACTTTTCCATGTATAGCTACAGTACCAGGGCCGGTCCCAGGGTCTCGGAGGCTTGAGGCGAGAAACGAAAACGAGGCCCTCTTAATTACCAACTTTATTTTGACTTGTCAACTCATTCCTCAACCACAATTCCATAACTTCATCTTCAACATATTTTTACAAGATAATTTATTTAAATCTAAGAGCTCCATTTGTGATTTTTTTAAATATCCCAATTCAAATTTTTCTATTGGTCATTGTGTCGATAGATACTCTAACTAATCAAATTCCGAAATATACAAATATAATACAAAAGAGCCAAAATATAAACACATGTAAAAAAATATAGGATTACATATGAAAGAATGAAGATAATGACATATAAACTTAATTAATTCTTAACTTGTCAATCAGCAAAGAAGAAAAGAAAAAAAGGAGGAAAATCAAAAAAAATGAAATTAGAAAGAAAAAAGAGGGAAATTTGGGAAATTAAAAAAAAGTAAAAAGAAAAAAAGGGAAACTAAAAAGAAAAAACGAGGGCAATTAAAATTAAAATTAAAAAAAAAACGAAAGAGGGGAATTAAAAAAAAATAAAAAAAAAGAGGGAAATTAAAAATAAAAGGAAAAAAAGAAAAAAAAACAAACATAAATAAGAGAGAGGAAACAACAGCTTTTAGACGGTCAGTCAATGACACATGCAGAAACCTATGAGTACAACTTAGCCAACTAAGTTAAAGGCAATTCTTGGAAAAAAATTGTAGCTCTACAATTATATAAACATTTCACAAAATTAGAGGCCCTAAAAGTTTTCAATTTTTCGGAGGCCCAAGGCGACGGCCTTGCTCGACTTGGGCTTGGGCCGGCCCTGTACAGTTCCAATGACATCCTATGTGCTCGAATGATCAATGGATAAAGCTTCGGCTTCGCTTTTCATCCTGCACAAAATGTCAGCTGCAGAGTTTTTGTGTTGAATTCAAAACACGGTCGATTATTTCTTCTTCACTCTTTTCATAGATGAAGTCTATATCAATTACTTCTTTGGAGATGCTCAATTTATCGTATTTCGCAAGAGCAGCTACAACAAGAATAAGATTACACTAGTATAAAAATGTTTTTTTACTACGATTTTTTTTTGTTACGCTAAAAAACCGTTACATAAGATACATTTTAATACGGGACAATCTGAGAGTTGTAGTAAACGCTAGGATACCGTAGCAAAAAAAATATTTGCTACGGCCGTTTACCGTAACAAAACTTTTGTTACACTCGTATTTACTACGGGGCAAATTCGTAGCAAAAATAGTCTTACTACGAATTTGGTAC